TCCCAGTTGCCTCCATAAGTACTTCTATGCTTGCTTGGTTCCTGTTGAGACTAAAGCTATCAGACACTTAACCAAACAACAGACACTATTTTCCTTGGGTGTTAGAGTGGATTTTTGGTTTTCCGAATCTGTGGTTTTTAATCCCATAAGCTGCTTTGGGTAAGGGAGAGAACAGGTAACAAACAGAACTTAAGTTCAATCATTTTTTTTCCTGATGCCCGGCTTTTCTTTTGGTGCTAATACCATTGTTTTGAGATAAAAACAGCACCATTATCCAACTGAAAAATCAGCAGACACCCTTGTTCCTTATAGGGTGATATACTGCAATCATCTTTGCATTGTCAGACAGCCTACTGCTCCTGCAAGTTATTCATCTGAACTAATATGTGCAAGGAGGGAGATGCTAATGCCACTGTGCACACTGGTGGTGCTTGTCTGTCTAACAAGTGATGTAATTCATTGCGTTTCTTGTATTTCTTCTCTTCCCGTACGCCAGCCACCAGCCTGCCTTATTCTAATTATAACAACATATGCAGCTAGATGTGTTTTTCTTGCTCATTTTATACTGTGAGCTTTGCATGCCTTTCTACCCAAAATCTCCCTTCTTGTGGCATTTATCCTCAATTACATCCACATGTTGGACATTGTTAGCTGAATAAAAACTGTAGCAACTATAGGGTGACCCAGAAAAAAAAATACAGCAAGGCAACTAGAATTTGCCAAGCAATGGTATTCACCTGGTTTATGGTCAAGTTTTGCAGAAGGTGAACAATCAATCCAGTCTTTTAGTCCTTTCTAAAATTGCAAGCCAACTCTCTAGCCTTGTGTGACTGACAGATTAGATTCCCTTTACAGTTTCACTTCTTGTGTACTCTATAAACAGAACTTCCCTGGATACCATGAGTGTACCATGCCTAAAACATTTGCAATAAAATTTCAAAGTTATTTTTTTATACAATTTTGATGAAGGAAGCTTTCAAAAACTTTTAAGGTATCACAACCTATTGTTAGACATCAGGCCACTTTTTGTCTTGCCTAGTTTTGAGTAATATGCATTGCTTGTAGGTGCCATTAACATCCTTTCCACAACATTTCAGTTCTTTGGTGGTGTTTTTCTGTTTCATTCATCCATTTAAGGATCGCTTCTGTTAACTTTTAGTGACAGCTGATGATCATCACGTATTTCGAAAAACCAGAACCACAGCAACTTTCATTCAGTGACCCATTCCCACTTCTTCCATGTATCACCCTTCTTAGACTTGTATGTAGTATATTACTCCATTGACACTGTTTTCAAGGCCAAGCCTTTAAAATATGAACATTCAACACAATGGCTTTCTTTGTTAAAAAATATACTTTGGACAGCAGCTAGATTTTAGTGTGCTGAAACCACCGACTCCCAGAGCAAACATTACTGTTATTTTATTCCCCTGGTACCCCTGCATATTTGTATAAATATTTGCTGGTTGCCTTTTCTGAGACTGTAGGAACTTTGGAGCAAGAACTGCATCATGGCAGTTTGTGTCATGGAAAGCACGACTAGGTGCTACAATAATAGTAATATTTCCTAGTAATTGCAGTCATGGGATTTTCCTATGCATACCAGTTTTTTTTCCTGGTGTGTACTCTTATTATAAAAAAGAAATTTAGAAAAAAAAAGTCAAGGCTGGGGAGAACAAACAAAGTACAGACTAAATGCTGAAGAGTTTCGCCATCGTGAACTAGGACTAAAGAACCAACACGAGTCACACAATTCAAAAGCAGTCATAGCAATAATCTCAAAATTAGGATTCCTATGCATACCAGTTTTTTTTCCTGGTGTGTACTCTTATTATAAAAAAGAAATTTAGAAAAAAAAAGTCAAGGCTGGGGAGAACAAACAAAGTACAGACTAAATGCTGAAGAGTTTCGCCATCGTGAACTAGGACTAAAGAACCAACACGAGTCACACAATTCAAAAGCAGTCATAGCAATAATCTCAAAATTAGGAACACTGTTTTCATATTAAAATTTTAAATGATTTTTCCAATATTACTTAACAAAAAAAATCAAATTCTAAATAGGCTTTAATCAAAAAAGTTGTCCAAAAATTTGTTGAAGTGTAATATATATTTTTATAGAATCTTTCAAAATTATACTTTCCAATTAGTCATTTCTGTTTTGACTAACTGGGTTTTTCCAACAAAAATGTTTTGATAAAAAATTCCTTAACCAGCTCAAGTAAAAAGTTATTTTTCAAAACATGCTTTTGTCTTCCTGACAGCATCCTCCATGTGGAAATAGGAACTCTTAAAATTAACAGAAGGTGTATGCAGAGGAGGTGGGAAGTTTGGAAAGAGTGCTCCAAATGCCAGATCTATCATCTGTATTATTAATATGTCAGATCTGGTGCGTATGAAGAGCCAGCGATGAGGGTACGAATTTGACGGTGTTTCTGTACAATGAATACCTCTCATGATGTATGATTCCTGAGGTGGTGTTGAAAATGTGATGAGGTGTCCGTTTAAGACAGAAGGAATGTCCTGAGTAAGGAGCGAAACAAGATCCAGGACCGTGACAACCCCATGCAGGGGAGGGAGGGAAGCAAGCATCGATTTACTACATTTTAATGAATAGCAGTGTGAAGTTAAAAATAAAAACAGCAAGGAGAAGAGCACAGCTTTAATGAAGAGACGGAGAATGTGTCAGCTCAGGAAGCTCCAAGGCCAGGCTAGCTCTAGGAGACAGGGCTGCCTCTCTTGGCTTCTCTCTAAATAAAGGTCTGCTCTGGCCATGCAGAACAGATGAATTGGAGCCTGGGCTCCCGTGAGAAAGATTTCTGTCCAAGAAATCCTAAGAAGCTAGGAAAAGAGACTGATGTCAGATATAAACACAAAGTATTTTTCTTCTGCAGCTTTGTTTCCAAGTTTTATAATCAGAGAATTACTGCATGATTTGGATGTTACCCCCAAAAATGTTGTAGATCAGCGTAACTGCCTGCAAAGCCATAATAAATTTGGGTATTTAGCATCCATTTCCCAGCAGACTGCACAGCTCAGCTTGGGGATTGGCAGCGGTGTATCAGGACAGAGAAGGAAAGCCTCAGTTAATGTACTTGAACTAATATCCCTCCAGCAGCAGACAGAAGGCGGAAACATATTGTGTAGTTTTGGGCAACCACATATTGTGACTATCTCCTTGGCTCTCCTTTTTTTGATCTGCACCTTAAGATCTTGTGAAAACCTACGTGTGAGAAAAAGTCTCACATTGCCATCCTCCCTAGGGTCAGTCGGTAGCTTTCAATGTTCGTTGCTCAGACAAATGCCTAAGAAGAGCTGAAGGAGGCAGCTGAGGTAATTGTAACATCTCGGTGAAACAGATAAATGCACCTCAGCTAATATTTTATGTGTCACTACCATTCCTACGCAGGTCTTTCCACTTCCACTTGATGCCCTGTGACTGGGCCCTCGCTGTACCACTATTACCAGAGTGAAAGGTTGGTGGGAGCATTTGTGGCTGCTGATCTACCCAAGAGAGGCCTTTGTGTCCTAATTATTTTTCTGAATGCCATGAGGCAAAAAACAGGACGCCGAAGGCAGCACTTATCAATCACTTCACTAGGAACATGACCATACTCCAAAACACATATTAATTATCACAAAACCATCACATGCGCAAACACACTCCTCTACCTCACCTACTCAGAAAACTCACACTGGCATCTCTTGCATTTCCCCCTCCAGCTTTGTTTACATCCTCTGAGATTTACATTCCTTCATTAGCCCATGCAAAGGAAGAGATATTCCTGGCAGCTGTGTGTGTATTACCATGGTTACCTAGTTCATCTGCAGCAAAATGGGTTGGTCCATGACCTGACACCACAGCTCCAGGAGCGTGTTCCTCCCTTGTCCACTGCTTTGCAACCTCTCCCGCTGCAGCTGTTTTGTCAGAAAATCTGAATGTAAGCAACAGTGGGGCATCCAACAAACTCTCCCAAAGTCTTCAACACATTTTTTTTCCTATATCGTTTGTCTCTAAGTGTGGTTTTTGGCAGGCCCAGTCCTTGGTTTTCAAGCAATTTTTCCAGCAAGCCATCATCAATAGCATACCTACAGTTTTTACCCACTGCATTTTATTTGAGGGTGCGGTATTACACTTTAAAATTTAGCCTCAAAAGCATGCTTATGAGAACACCTGTGACTACACAACAACCTGGGCCTGTCAGGGAAGAATAAACGTTTGGGGCACACGAATGAGGACCGTGAAGTCTTAAATGAGGGTCTCAGCTGGGTGGGAGGAACAAACAGCTTCCTCCCACGAAAGCAGTTTGGGCTTCATTGGTGTCACAAATTTTGCAGTACAAGTTGAAGAAACTGTAATCTCATGAGATATTAGCAAACCAGGCATCAAACCTAAATAAGCTCTCAATATCAAATGAGGTATAAACAACAAAATATTGATAAAATATAACGAAGACAGAATTCAATCCAGGCAGAAGGCATATGTATCTCCACAACTGGCTCAAACTTTCACTGAAACAAAACTTATCAACTTTGTTTTTTAAGCAACATCATTCTCATAGGTTTTTTTCTAGGCAATATTTATAACAAAACAGATATGTATACTGTTAGGAAGAATCCTTGTTCACATCATTCATCTATTCCCATAATTTATGTTTCTAATATTGATAACAAATTTGACCTATTTAAAGAAACTTAAAGCAATGATGTAATCTCTGGAAGTGGTACACGGAATATGCGTACCACACAATGTCAAGGCAAACACAGATGTATCTTATGGTGATTCTGAAAACACAAATACCAATGAATCTCTGCGAGGAAAGCAAAAGCTGGCAAAATTCGAAATGGCTTTGTAGTCATATAGTTATGTAAAATAAAGTTGTGAAGTTCTCCAGACTTGATTTAACATGGCTGAAACAGAGTGGGTAATTTGTTTGCATCTGAACGGTAAAAAAGATCAGTCGAATGAAAAATGTACACAAAAATGACTTGTACACATACCTTTTCCGTTTATTGTTAATGCTGATGCAATTGTGGCTGTTACTGGCACTGGCAATTGTGGCACTAATGGATGTATCCTTGGTCGGCTCCCCATCCTAGCACGCTCTGCACCAGGTCCTAATAAAGCTCCCACCGGTTTTTCTGCTGCTACTTCTGGTGCTACAGAGTCTTCTTGATCCTGCTCTATATGGTCCATTTTATCCGGGCTTTCATTCTGGAAGCCATCAACTGTTGTCCGACTCTTAATTGGACTTTTGGGCACTAGGATTTTAATACCTGATTTTGCAAGGTCCATATTTTTCCTTCCAGAAAGAGATGGTGAATTGTTTTTCCGGAACTTCTGGGTGGCAGAAAAGAGTTGATTATTTTTTGACTCATGATCTTTACCCATAACTAAAGATTTAGTGGATGTCTTTGAAAAAGAGCTATTGGTAGATCTAGAAATTTGTTTTCTGGCATTATTTGGAGAGGTCCTGTTTGTCCTGGTTAATGTGCTTTCTTTCTGCTTTTCATTGTGGCGTCTGTTAAATTCATGTATATATTCCTCACAATTAACAAGGTGCTGTTCTGGCTCCCAAGTATCATCTTCGCTGTCGTATCCTTTCCATCGCACCAAATACTCTGTTTTTCCCTTCTTGTTTTTCCTCTTGTCAACAATTCTCTCTACCTGTTAAAAAGGAAAATTAAACATTAGACATGGGCAGATATACAACTCAAGTGAGCAATTTGCATGCAAATAATTTGTTAAGCGTAGATAGATTTAAAAATACTCTTGTAGTTCTGTAATTCTGTATTGTAGCTCTATAGCTTACAGTCTTTCACTGCTGACTGGAAATTCCTCTCTTTAAACTTCAGATAGTACCTTCCATCTCATAAAAGACGTTCTAAAATACGAAAATTGTTCTTCAGTAAGTATTTTGCATGCACAAGAATCTGAATATGACATATTACAGTTGACAATCAGCACTGGCCCCGGCAAAGTTTTGACACCAACTTCAATGTGGATAGGTTTTCCCTCTCTGAATATAGAGATCATGTTTAAATATGCTATATAAACACAGTGTGTTTACCTTACAAAACTTATCAATTTGATATTGTTTGAATAATTTGCTTGCTTAGCATAAGGCATATGTGAGAATCTCTTACTTACAGTGAGCTATCCTTTAGTTACCAGGGACAATACGGTACAGCTCAGAAATTGGGGCAAACACAGAAGATTTTTTTTAGAGGCTGTTCTTCTTGTGAAAACAGAGAACTTGTTTTGGCCAGAGTCTTTGATACACATACTTGAACAAATTACCATGCCTCACTTATCTGCAAATAGAGATGATATTTATGTCACAAGTATTAAGCATGCACATGCCACAACTGCACGTGGGACCCACAGGCTAGAGGAATTCAGGCACCGGGGTAAAGCAGACAGGGCAGACAGCAGCAGCTGCAGGGACAGAGGCTCATGCCTTGTACCAAAACTCATGCCAGTCATGCTAGTCCTGCAGAAAGGGAATTCTTTCACAGAAAAAGAGACTTAAGTGCAAGGCTAGTCTCGGGATTTCCCCTTTTTATTTCATTTTTCCTACCCAGGCTGCTCCTTCTGGTAAATCCTCCAGCCCACTTCATTTCAGTTATGGAACCAATACAGCTTTCTTCCCCATCTTATCTTCCTCTTGGTTATTTAAAAAAAAAAGGGGGGGGGGGGGGCAGGAATGGGATGGGACTACCACTTACTAATTACTAGCCCTAGTGCTTAGCCCCTCATGAACAACAACCACGCATATAAGCTAAGATCACACATACCTAGGAGAATTTCTGAAGACCAGTAACATTTACTGGCGTGGCTTTTAACCGAATGGAACATGTACAGAACAATTTGGAAGGACGGAAGGAAAATACAGGTATGTATGTCATTACCAAGTCATATGACTGTTGACAACAGATTCTCTTACGAGTGCACCTCAGTTTTATATGTGGCATGTTATCATAATGTACTGCCTGGTTTGCAACAGTGAGGTTAAATGATTACTATTATTATAATCTCAGCAGCAATATAACTAGACATCCTAGAACTTCATGTGGTACACTGCAGGTGGTGTACTATGCTGTCCTGTCATTAGGATGTTGCATAGCTCCGTTTGCATAGGTCTTAAAAAAACCAAAAAACCCCCAAAACAACACCACACAAATGAAAACCAAACGCAAACTGTCAGTTGTTACCCAGTTGCACAATTCAATACATTTTATAGAGAGTAACGCAATATAAATTGTCCACATATTATTTAAAATGTTAAAATACATTAAAACTATTTTTATTGTGGTTATTTCACTTTTTAGTAAAGTTACTGGACTTAAAAAAACATACAGCTAGAAAAATGAAACTATTATTTTTCCACGAGACTACATTTAAGAACATCTTAACAAAAATGCTATCCCAAATAAGAAAGTCATTATGGAGAAATATGCTTTCGAATTTTTTTTAGTAGAGACTGAGTAAAAAGTCCTTCAGGTATTAAGCCAGAAATGTTAAATTAAAAAATAAAAACCAACTCATGAAGCAAACTTGATACATTGTCAAAAAAGCAGTTACTGCAATAGTCTTGCTTATCCTCTCTCCCTCTCTCAACCTTCTAAAATAGATTTAAAAAATATGATTCTCAGAGAAAGATCTCTACTACTAGGAAGGTACTTTTATTTTCTAGCAGGAAATCTTCGTAAGAAACAGCATCGATTACTGGGCACAAAGTTCTACTAATGTCTTTAAATACTGAAAGGCAACGTCTTTAAATACTGAAAGGCCACCCATTAAGGACACCTCCTTTTCAAGTAGGAAGCCATCCCTCTCATCCAAAAAAACAGATACCTTGCACAGATAACAGATGAACTCTAGAACAGGAGACGCAAAAATCCATTCCTAACCCAATGATTTATAGAGCAAACAGAAATGCATAAAGAAAACGGTTATATTTAGCCGTATTGTCCAAGCCTGCAACAAAACCTACTTTGACATTGTTCTTTTTGATTAAAAGGAGATTTTCCCCCTAACATCTTATTTCTATTTTATTTACAACACAAAAATTATAGCAATTAACCTGTGATACACAATTTGTCATGTGGCTTCAGAGCTTTAGTGAGGGACTTTTTGGATTGCCTCAGCTTGATTAGTCTAACTCCCCTAGGACCACTTGAAAAACTGCTCAGGAATATTCTGCCTCAATACTTTTGCTGATGGTAACAGCTACATAAGCGTTTCTCATCCAGATTTGGGAAGAGGAAACTGGAATGCTTCCACAATGCGCACAGGGTTTGAGTATAGAACAGGAATAGGAATATCCATCCTGAACTAGTGGTTTATTTAGTCTTTCATGGCAAAAACAGAGACGACAAACTTGTGCTTCTCCTCTTTTCCTACTGAAAAAAAAAGCTTGTCCAAAGTCATCTGTTTCTACTTTGGTATACAGTGGTGACATGACATGAAATACAGTGTGAGACACCTCAAAGTCTTATGTTAGAAGATACTAATGACTTACATCTGAATATTAAAATGAAAAAAATAATATAACTAGGTGGGAAAAAAGGTCTACGTTCCTACTTCCTGACACATCAGTTACGGTGCGGTTTGATGATACAGCTAACCCGTTGGAACAGCTAGGTAACATCCACACAGGCAGTATTGCTTCTCCCCCCGCTATTGTTACCCTGGAGCTGAGCAGGTGCTTTTCTGATCTTATGTCGAGTTAGTTCAGAGGGTTAAAAACTGGCAGAGTGCCCCTAAGCACCAGGGGAAGAGCAAGACCACATCCTTTGCCATAATCACACCAGAAATGCTGGCGACAACTAGTTCGTGCCAACTACCATTTCTACAGTGTCCAATGTCTTCTGCCATGCAGTATTATTTAATTTTAGTAATTAAAAGGTTCTGTACTGCCAGGATTTGCTGCTAATGGTTAGTTTTCAAGTGTTGTAGGAGCTTATGCCGATAGTTCAGAGGGTTAAAAACTGGCAGAGTGCCCCTAAGCACCAGGGGAAGAGCAAGACCACATCCTTTGCCATAATCACACCAGAAATGCTGGCGACAACTAGTTCGTGCCAACTACCATTTCTACAGTGTCCAATGTCTTCTGCCATGCAGTATTATTTAATTTTAGTAATTAAAAGGTTCTGTACTGCCAGGATTTGCTGCTAATGGTTAGTTTTCAAGTGTTGTAGGAGAATCAAAACAAAATGGAAAATTATATAAAAAGGAAAGATAAAACAAGTGTGAGGAAAAATTATCAGGCAAACTATCTGGATGGCAAAAGATAACATCTCTCAGTTTGTTTTAGCATGCTAAGTTATCACTTTCCCCACATGGGGTACTGACCAATGACACTCAAAAACTCAGCCAGCAGAAAAACTGACAGAAAAACAACGCACTGCTCAGAGGTATAATCCAACAGTGGAGTGCCCAAATTATAATTCCCCACACCAGAATTACATCTGAGCTTTCCCACCTGTAAAATGGTAAATTTCCCTTCCTTCCATGAATGTGGTGAGAATTGGTTCATGTTTGCTTTCTCTCCCTGAGGAAGCAGATACTTTGATTTTAATTGCTTTTATTAGCAGAATTACTTTTTATGTTATTAATTTGATTTCAATTGCTTTTATTAGCAAAATTAGCATTTACACTTTTTCAAAAAATGGACAAGAACAAGATAAGGTTGAAGGCCAAAGTGCTGTTTGGCTACAGCGGCACCAGGTGAAAACGGCAACACCGCAACTGCTCCTCCCTGTCCTGTGCTCAGAGACAACAGCTCCTCCCCATCTGTCAGCACAACTTCTGGTGTAATTATTCCCTAATGTAGTTCTGTCAAAGTGACCTGGTTTAGATATTAAGAATACCTGAGCTAATGTAGGCATCCTGAAATAACTGGTTTGGAGAGCAGCCACATATGCGGTTATTTTCTGACACATCTAAGAGGAGTGCAACTTTCAGCAGAGGACAACAAACACCTATGGGCAGGAGAGGTACAGCAACCTCTTCGTTCTGCTGCGGTCAGAAAAAGGACATGCAATCTTAATCCGCAATGAAAGATCTTTAGTTCAGATCAATAAAAGTAAGCATGAAATTCAAAAGGATGTTCTCAGTCCAAAGCATTGTAATTTGGGCACATTTGTAAACTCTATATTAGGCATACTCTGTGTGTGTATGTGTATGTATATGTTTTTTATATATATATAAAAAGATCATACTTTAATTTAACATAAGATTTGAAGAGATTAAACTAAAGGTACAGCTGTCAGGGGTGGGGACAAAAAACAGAATGAGCAAAATAAACATATAAGTAGGAATGTAAATATTCAATGAGTGCTGCCTTGTTTATCATAAATCCATTTTCCATTCCCATCATGTTCGCCTCTGTCCTCACATTCATGTCAGGCTAAATTAATTTAAAGTTAACAGAATAGAATCTATTTGACTTCATACTCTATCTGTTGTCTGTAAAATAGAGGAGAAGACCCTGTTCTGTTAGCTGAAGGCTATGTTTACATTAGTATTTCATTCAGAGCAATAGTGCAATTTAGAAGCAAATCCTTCTTCCCTCCACACTGTTCCCGCTTACTGTGCAATGGTTTTGTTCACAGACCAGTTTTTGTATATGTGATGTGGATTCTTTATGGAGAAATATAAAA